GTCATTAGGACCCTTTGTACGATGCACCAAAATACCAAAAAAACAACCCCAAACTCCATAATATAGTCTCACTAGAACAAAAAAAATAACCAGAAACTACAATATTTTATGGGCCAATGGCCCTCTGAAATAGATGATTGTGGGACATCCTTGAATGAAAGGAAAATCAAGGCCATGCAGCATTTTTCAAAATGTGGATATATTACCAAGAAGATACAATGATTTGTGGATGAGCCTCCAGATACTGTGTAGATAATCACAGAGATGACCTTGGAGAAGGAATGAGACAGTTAGCAAAACATGCTTTAACCCTGAGAAAAAAAGTGAAAGAAAGGTAAAGTGACTCTGCTTAATTAAAAAAAGGAGGAAAAATGCTGCCAGGCTTTTAAAATTGTGTCACTATAGCCTGCCTCTTTAAAGGAATAATAGGGAATTATGGCTTGAGGGCGGGATGCAAACCATTGCCCTTCTCCCATGGCTTCCTTGCTGGGAAAAAAAGCAAAGGAACATCACATAGCTGTTTCCTCCCAGTAGCAATAATACTGAGCTTTGCAAACAAAAAACAAAAAAACCCTCCCTTCGCTTTCTCAGTCATCCTGTTTTCTTTTTTTGCTTAACCATTACTTTCATCTTCCATCCAGAGTAAGGAGCTTGAGGGCAAGGAGCAGGGCAAAGAGAAGCCCAGACATGGTAGCTGTTTCCTCTGCTTTTGCTGTTTGTATGACCCAGGTCCAAATAATCAGTGTTCTCCCAATGCATTTGGGCAATATAAGTTCAACATTTTCATAACCATTTTTACTAGAAATTGAATCCTTCAGACTGAGCTGTAATCATACTGTGAGATACACAATAAATGTACATGTTGTAATTTTTCATTTCTGCTTAAGGAATAGGCATGTAGAGGCACTTAGCTAAGGTACTTTTAGAAAAGAGATGTAGTAAGCTGGAGGAACAGAAAGGGACTATAAACACTGACTCAAAGCATACTTTTAGACTAGTGCACACTACTGTAGAATAGCATATAATTTATGAAAGACTATCCAATTTATCCAATTTGTATAAGGTTTATTCTTTATTCAAACTACCTAAAGTTAGTATTTCAAGGTATAACTATTATATGAACCAAAGAACCGCCATGTTTAACCGAAGCATGAACTCTGTTACATACAGTACATAGCTTCTGGATGAAAAACATGCACTCTTACAGGAAACATACATCATTTGTAATTGTTGCAATTATCCAGTTTAGGTAGACAGGCTCATCTTGTCGATGAGCTATATCAGTGGTAGCGAACCTATGGCACGGGTGCCAGAGGCGGCACTCAGAGCCCTCTCTGTGGGCACGCGTGCCGTCACCCCAGTCCTAGGCCTTCAGCTGGGTTTTATAAAACCTTTTCGCTTTAGGCCTCTGCCACCGTGTGCAAAAAAAAAAAAGGTTCAATCAGTCAATTTCAACTTCTTGTGGGAAAAAAAAGATCTTGCAAAGTTGGAATTGATTGAACTTTTTAGTCCCACCCAGTCTGCCGTTACCACAGCCACGCCCACCCAATGGGCCACGCCCACCCAATGGGCCACACCCAGCCAATGGGCCATACCCACCCGGCACTCGATGATCCATAAGTGGGTTTTGGGTTGCAGTTTGGGCACTCAGTCTCTAAAAGGTTCGCCATCACTGAGCTGTATCCTGAGTTAGCAGGATATCATGAATCATGCCACAGACAAGGACGGGGAGATAAGACAGGAACAAAGTGGTTTTTGATCATATAATTGCAGGGTCCGGTAACTTGTTGCTAGGCAGTCAGAAAGCATGGGACCAGTCCAGACCTATCAACTGGGTCTGGGGAGGATGGACCAGTGGCCGGTGATAGAAATGTATACTGTATAAACTGCTGAGATCTGTAAGTAAGGTGTGGCCTCTTGTGCATACAGAGATACTCCAGCCTTTGCAAACCTTTTAATAAAACTTTGGTTTGCTTTCCAATAACTTTGAAGTTGAATTTTATTCCTCACAATACTGATCTTCTAGGCTTAAGAGGAAGACACAAATAAGCCCTTATAGTATTGTTCAAATACTATATACTGTATAAACACATGCATATATATATATAAACATAGGAGAAATAAAATGTAGAGTAATCATAGTGGTGCCAATTGAGAGATAGCAATAGTAGATTATGACAGTAAATTCTAATAAATGTAACCTATTAAAGAAAAGCCTGGGTAGTGAGGTTTATCTGCTTGCTTTGCCCTTCCTAAGACAGCTACCTTTACTACATATATTTTTGTCTTGGGTTGGATTTTATGATGGTTTTATGATAATTTAATTTATGGAGATTTGAAAGTTTGGATAATATTCTTACAGAGTATCAAGCCTAAGATGGTATTCAAAACAGTAAAAATTAAAGAAAAAAGTTGTGAAAACTGTAGTTTCAAGTTATAAAAAATCCATCTAAAAAGACGAGAAGACATTGGTCAAAATCAAACTAGGAAAACATGTGGTAAGAATCAGAGGGATAGTTTATTACTATTACCTGATCTTCAGAAAGTCCTAACCCTCACACTCTCCAAAAAGGGCTTTATCTGAACTTAGTAAGTGACTATAATGGAGCCTGATGAAATGCAGGTTGTTAAGTGGAGCACAGGGTGCCTAAAGGGTGGGGGAGGCCTAGCACAGGGCGAGACCTGCCTGCCCTCACCTTCCAAAGATGCCTGTGCTCTGCTTCTCACTCCTTGGACCCCCACAGGCCTTTTCCCATTCCCATCAGATTCCCCCAGGCCTTAGGCCCGATTCTCACCCTACCAGGCCAAACAACATTCTCTTCACTTACCTTTTGAAGCGTTCTGAGTGTTGGAACAGATTGCTTCATTTCATATGGTGAGATTCTGGAAGTAGCTGCCGTGTTTCCAGCAGCCAAATTATATTTGGGTATCACTGCAAACCTCATTAAGGCAGCAAAATAAAGCACTTTGTTCTCGGGCTGCACAGTGGCAAATTGGAAGCAGCCACCATTTTGTTCCACTCACAAAATAATTGCTACTTTCAAGTCACCACCCTGCAACCTGGGGACAAACTGCTTTGTTTTGGTACCCTAAGAATGTCTGCACAACATTTCAGAAACTTTCTGCAGCATTCATATAAGGCCAGCAGTTTGGCGCTGCCATTTTGTCCACACCCACCCAAGCAGGCGGCACAAAATGGCAGCCATGTTTGAGTTGCTGTGCAGTCTAAGGGCACACGGCCTGCCCTCCTTTTCTAACATGAGATCCAGAGAGCTTCAAAAAGTAAATGAGGAGGAAGATGGCTGTGTGGAGTGCAGACTCAAGCACTGCAGGGGTAGGATGCGGTAAGAGACACAACGGGGGTTGCTGTAGCGTCCCTGTGGTCAGTCATAGGGTAAATGACCACAGAGGAAACTACAACTGTCATAACTTTGAAACAGGGTCATATGTAATTTGGAGGCATTTCTTGTAATTTTGAATGTACATTATGACATATCTCAAGGACTATCTATACTGTAAAACCTTGAATGATAGGTAGCTTCTGAGAGCCCCATCAAGTCACTCCCTTATCTTCAGAGCAAGCCTGATATAAAATAAATCATGATGATCAAGCCCTTAGAAAAACCAGTGTCTGTGAGAAAAAGCAGATCTGATGGAGTGGCCTTACTTGCTGACTGTATAAATCCAACCATATTAGAGATGACATCGGTGACAGACCAGTCTATGATGGCACCAAATTCTCAAGTCTTGTACCCAACAGTCTGCTGGATTTTGAGAATTATGGCAATTATTTAGCTATTCCCACGTTGAGAAACATTTAGGTGTTTGTCCCAAGTCATTCCTGCTTCATCAGTAGGGCAAAACTTTGGCAAATGCTGGTCTCACTCTTGTTTTTCCAAATAGTCAGAATTTTTGGCATAACTTTAGGAAAATAATGGAGACGGAGTAGAAACATTTTTATGACCAGACCCATAACATTTAGTTTTTTCTTTCCAATGGCATGGCTCTGCCAAAGCAATCAATCAATGATATTTATTGGATCAATGATCAGCAAAAATTTAAAAGAAAAGCAGAGTGAAGCAAATAAATAATATACTAACAACTAGCAGAATAAATAACAGAATATAACATTCACTCCTCTATTATTGTTAACACAGTTGTTACCTGGGTAATAAATCTAGAACATTAATAATTTAAAAATAAAAACATATATTCCCTACAATTTATTAGTTAAGATGTATCAAGCCAAATGTTTCAAATGTATCAGACTAAAAGCAACAGCAACCCTTGGAGGACTTTGCTAGCCAGCTGAGAAACTTAGCCTTCCTTTTTTTCTTTTTAAACTTTCAGTTTCTTTTCACCCAAAGGCAATTGACAGTTGCCAGATCAATAAATGGGTCTAGCGGGTTCAACGCCGGAATGCCACTGATAAATCTGGAGCGGCTCTAACCAAATCTTAATTCAAGTTATTGGTGTTAGGGAAAGGGGCATAAAAGTGCAAATCAAATACGAACTGCTGGGAACAAATCACTGAATGAATAATCCCCTTTGCTTCAACCCCATCCCTCCAAATCTGGCTGAGTTTGCTTTCTTTGCTCTTCTGGATTTATAGGCTGAGAGCTAATTTTAGCCCGAGAGGCGGATGGGGGAAGAAGACACGCTGCAAACTCAAACCGGAAGTCTTCCTGTCAACCAGGGAGCTGCCACTCTTAGACTTCATCCACTCGATGATGACGTACGTCTTTTCCAAACAAGGACGCTCAAGGAAACGAAAGAGAAAGTCGCAGATTCCCCAAGCGGGTGGGGGCTCCGCGCTCCACCACAAGGCACGTTCACGCGCCGGGAGCGTCACTGGACAGCCGACAGCTCAGTAAGGGCGGCAGCCCCGCCCGCTCGGCTCAGCCGGCAAAAAACCAGCGGAAGGAGTGGGCTGCGCCTGCGCGTGGAGAGAAACCCGGAAGCGGCTGAGTCGAAATAGTGAAGGCAAGTACAGCCCTTGGGAGGGGGAGGAGCAGTCGGAGTGGCAGCGTGGCCGGTTCCGGGGAAAGCTGAGCAGGTAATTCGGTGCCCCTTTTTCCTTGGTCTCCAACGCTTCCCGATCTTCTCTAACGAATGATATGAACAAAAACGAGAGACCCTCTTGGCATGTTTTATCTATCACACGAATAAGTGTTGGAAGTGCTGACACCCCATTAAGGGCATCGCAGTCGTTGCCATTGACAAAAAAAAGCTCCAGGTTTTGGTTTTTTTTCCCCCTTGGGCGATCTTGAGAGTCCATTGCTCCGTCCCCTGCTAGCCTGACTAACTAGACAAGATTCTGGGAAATTAAGCCTGGCTGAACTCATACAGCCTCGTCTCAAAAGAGTGGGTTCGGGGGGGGGGTGTCTTACTATTGGGGGTGGGTGTCTTGAGCTGCCCACAATTCTAAAAAGTTAGTAGAAATTTTAATTTGGTACTAATTGTGTCTTGGAAGTTTATGCTCTGCTGATGAGAAAAGGACTTTGCTCTTGGGTTAGAATCACAGCTGCGTATTATGTGTCAGGCTTATGCTGATAGGGAAACAAGGCCTGCTGGTCTTATTTCCAAAGCAGTGTCCATTGCTGAAGATCTTTTATGGCAGGGGTTCTCAACCTTGGCAACTTTAAGACTTGTGGACTTCAATTCCCAGAATTCCTCAGCCAGCAAAGCTGGCTGAGGAATTCTGGGAGTTGAAGTCCACAAGTCTTAAAGTTGCCAAGGTTGAGAACCCCTGTTTTATGGGTTATCACTTCCCTTATAGGAGTAAAAGAATTTGCTGAGTTGTAGGACCTTGAGAAACTGATATTGAGGGAAATATTCATATTCTGTTATTACAACATATCTCAATAAAAATGTAGTCTTAGTCTTCCTGTGGAGTTAATTTTCTGGTCTGATCTATCCCAAAGGACTGAAATGAATAGACTTTGGAATTTATATTTTGCTAACTTGGAGACAAGCTTCCTGGAACAGGCTACCAGCTCTGCCAATTAAAAGATAGTATGCAGCTTTTTGAAAAGAAATGTGTATGTCTCAGCAAATGGCAGCATCTCCTGACCTTACCTGGGTATGCTAGAAAGAGGTCTAAACATCTCTGAATGCATTTAGACAAACTTTTAAAATACAGTCACTTGCTTATTTATATAAGCAACCCATGGCTGGGAGGACAGCTGTCATAGCCAAAAATAAAAATAACTCAGTGACTTCTCAAACTAGCATATATTATTAAAATATTTTAATAAATTCCTATTAAATAGATTCCTCTGCATCAATATCAAAAGCTTCTGTAATCTCAGTTGGCTATAAGTAATACTGTGGGCTGTCTAGAAACTGGGAAAAATACAAGTCAAATTATATTAAATTGAGTGGGACAATTTTCAGTTTTTATATATATGCCATCAGCTGTAAGACAGTGACTTTATGCTGTGAAATTCAAAGCAATAAGAAAGCTAGAGAAAAGTTCTGTCATCATTAACTTGGTAGATTATTTTCTGAAGAGAAGAGAGAAGAGGAGAGACCAAGTTAATTTATGTCTTGTTAGGCCATTGTTTAATGTGATGTTTAGGTTGTCATTAACCATTTATTTTATGTATGTATTTATATGTCCACACAATTAAACTATGTGACTCTCAGTGGCATCCCAAAAAAAAGAAAAACATAGTTAATACAAAATGGCATAACTCATTAAACATGCTAAACACTAACATCACAAACAGAACTGGAAACTTTTGCAATTTACCCACTGGGGACTCACGTCGATCTGACCTCAAAGACTGGATGAACATCCAAGTCTTAATTGCCCCACTGTAGAGTTGGGGCCTATTCTATTAAATCACTCTGATAAAAACAATCCTCTTATTCATTATTCTAGATCATGGTAAATTTGGGGAAAGCAAAACCTCTCTTTGGCCATGGTATTTTTAAAAAATAGTATTTTATTTGATATACCATTACACATTTACATCTAAACACAATACATATTTTTGCAAATTGCGTAATAGCATTAGGATTAATAGCACCTTAAATCATTTTTAAACTATATCCATTTATAATTATAAATAACCTGCTGCAAAGATTTCTTTAAAGTGAAAAGAATAAACAAAATCAACATCACATGGCATGTTTGATGTTTCTAATACAGTAAAGGCCTACCAAAATAGATATTTATGCAGATAAAGTCAACTTCTAGATTCATATGCTGAGATATAATGTGGTTTGTTAGTTTCTAATTAGCAAAACATAGGAGCTAAGTTTTACTGTTTATAGTAATTAAAGTTTCCTATCGTTGGCCTACTGGAAATGAAATTATGAAAATGCACATTTCTTCCTTTTTGCCTAGCATAAATTCTTCATCATTAGACGTATTTTTTTCAGAATTAAATTATAAAAAGCTGACTAGTTAATATAAGCATTTATTATTTATTTATTTATCAATTTGTATGCTGCCTCAATTATAAAATGACTCTAGATGGCTTATGCAATAGGACTAAACTTCAAATAAATTCTAAGTAAAAGCAAACAAAAGAATCCCCCAAAAGTATGTGGAACACATTGGAGAGCATAATAACAAAACATAATATCCCTTGCCAAATGAACATTGGGCAATAGACACTTCATTCCACCTCAGGATGAATAAGGGTAAGATGGGTTTTTATGTCTTTATGGAAGCTAAAGGAGGTCAGGCCCATATGGGATGCAGGAGTATGCTGAATAACCCAGCTACTGGAAAGCTGACAGTACTTTACAGCTGAAATGTACCATCTCTTTCAGATCTTACTACTTGGACAGAAAAACGGGAAAGATAGTTCAGTAGACAACAAGATGTAGTAAAATAAACTATGCTTTGAACATTATAGAATAATCTCATAGGACAAGTAAGATAGTAACTGTTTAATCTGAGAGTACTAAATAATAAGACTGATTTCTCATATTATATTATACTCATACAATGTTAAACTATGGATTTTTTATAATGGCTCATTGAATAAATCATGGTTGGGTTCAAACAACAAGTCATATAGCATAATATATTAAAAAGGAATAAATTCATATTCAGGTTAAGCCAAAATTAACTCCCATTACACATTACAGATTAATTCATTAAGCTAACTACGAAGAAATTGAAACTTTGTATCAAAGGAGATGTACTTCTTAGCCTGAATTCTATTTTGCCTAATGTAGTTTTCTGAATTTGCATTGATTCATTGTTTTTCCTCTCTACCTCTGTTTTTGTTTTTACCTGAAAGAATAATGAATCGTTAAAAAAAAAAGTTATATTTCTTTAAGCTGCTACCAATCATTGCAGAATGTGACGAGTACTTTATGATGTCAGTCTTTGGAAACATCTGTACCAGAACATCAAAAGCTATTCTTCCTATCTGTTTCTTTTTATAGGAGGGGATGAATTAATTATAGACTGTGATATCATTCATTATAGTTCTGAAATGTGAATGTTAGTGAGCTATCAATAGGGACAGTGTCCTCTGAAAAACTCAGCTGGTGCTTTAAATAACTTGTAAATATGTCTTGACTTAGACAATGTCTTACCTTGTTATATAATAATTCAAATGTTAACAATGTTTTCTTATATGTCAGTTCAGTAAGGCATAATCAAGATAAGTAATGTCCCCAAGGATATATATTTAGTTATTGATAAATATAACCTAGTTATTGATATAGTATAAGACACCAAACATTTCCTTCCTTTCTTAATGAATATCTGATTTTTCTATTAAATAGAAGTAGATAGATTAAGAAACAATAATATTATTGGCAGTCTTTGCTTCAGGTAACACATTCAGATTCCACACTACATAACAGGAAATAGAAGATGGAAAAATATATTCTAGTGAGCGATAACTCTTCCAGTTATGGATTGTAATTCCAAGCATAAATTATTGGGTCAAATGTGCTAGCACGAATTGACCTAGAAAACACACAATCAGGATATTAGCCAGCTATAAGGAACATATTTAGAACATATAAATTATATGACATAGAATATGAGGAGAGTTATGAGAAGAGACAGGAGACACTGAAAACAGAACTGCAATGCCCATGTTATCAACCCAACCCCAATCAACCCCAATCAAAGATGATTGATGAAAGCCTCAAGAAGCAGAAAGTGGCAATTGAATGCAGGGTTTCATTATCAAGCAATAATGAATAAGGAAGATACCTCAGCCAAAAATCTGAACAAGTAGAGGAAAATAATAGGAAAAAAGGAAAAACTAGAGATATTTGTAAGAAAGTCAGAAAACATGCAGGGCAATTGACAGCTAAGGTACAAATAGCCAGGAGTAATCAGGGAAGAAATTTAATAGAATAAGTGAGGTTACAGAAAGCTGGAAAGGCTATAGTAAAACCTCTTAAACTAGCATTATGAAATTTGAGAAATATTGTAATGAAGGAATATACAAGAATCAGCTCTGCTAGCAATTAGGTTCAAGAGTTATCAAATAGAAGAGTATCGGATGCAGTGTATTTAAAGTTCCTCCAGAAGGGAAAACATTCAGTATATCAGTCCTGCTGACTATTTAAATTACATATTGTGGGGAGGAAAAAATAAACTGCTTCATTACAGGGGTTTTTTTTTCCCCAATTTGTTTTTGTTTGGTTTTGCTTTGAAAAAGTAAAAGTAGGCATGCTGCGTAGCTGTATTGGAGTCATTCAAACCCAGACTTTTATTTTATCTTGTTCATTTTCAGGACCTCACAAATTGGAAATGAATTTAATGTACCTTCATATGGATCACTGAATGGATAATAAATGGCCCTTCCTCGCTTAACAGGAGCTCTCCGTTCCTTTTCAAATGTCACTAAACAAGAAGATTATAGTGAAGAATCTGCTGACCTAACAGTAAGTTATTTGCATGAATGTTAAGCACAGAAAGGATTTTAACATGTTGACTGAGTTAAAATATATATAAAATGTCAGTAACATTGTCACAAAGTGTAGATCTGTTCCATATGTTGGATTAGAGGTTTCTTCTAGAAACTAGTTAAATTCATAAATTCCACGCTATGTTTCCTCTTATTGGCAGCAATGGGCATTTTAGGGGATGGGCTGCCAGTATCCAACAAGTTGATCTAAAACTCAGTGTCTGTTTTACCATAGGACCATGATTTCATAGATTACTTGTATATCATTGCATAAATATCTGCAATTAGTGTATTTGCATACATTATAATTATTAATGTAATTGTAATTATGTAAATTTATACAAATGATGTCAATTTGCGGAATATTATATTGCCATATGAGCACCATTGCCAATTACCTCAGTAGTTTGGAGAGCTTTGGAAGCAACAGACTTTGTTACTTGAAAATTACTTATGAACTAAAATGTCAATTCCTTCTAAAGTCAACTGAACAGGAATACGTTACATTGAGGTTTTATTGTATGTTGCTATGTTTCTGTTATCCTGTAAGCAAAGTTCTAAATGGCTTCATCAGAAATTGTTGATATAATAATTAGGGACTAGATTATTTTTTCATTTTTCTCCACGCTTCATTCCAAAGACTGATTGTGAGCTGTGTATTGATATATTAATTTTCTTTTTTTACAAGTACAAAATTTCTGCTGCTTTTTATGAGTACAAAATTTCTGCTGATTAGATAAACTTCTCTCCAGTTACCAATATTTATGAAATAGGAGGCAAGGTAGAATAGTGTCATCGCTTTAAATACAAAACAAAATTGCTCCAATCAGTTACATCTCTCATTTAAAAGAAAGAAATTGGCACTTCTCAGTTTGATACTAAGATGCTATCAACACCCACACATACTCAAGCTCTTTAGGACTGATCCTGATTTCCATTATGTCAGTATAACTCACAGTAGCTCTACCGATCTTACTTTTTATTCCAGTGGAGTTTTTTTTATCACTGTAACTAGAAAGGCAATTTGGCCCTTTCTGTGTCATTTGAAGTAGTATACAACTAAATGAGCCATTAAAAGAGAATCCATTCACTGAAGCAAGCATCAACAACAACTAATATAGCATAAATTGAAGGGACATACGGTATAGCACTCTAATGCATTTTTCTTAAATAATCGCTTGATGGATGTGAAAGACGAGTTTGAATACTTGTTATATTTAATAATCTGGATGTACTGCCATTCTAGCTTGCCACTGCTTTCAGTATAACTGGCATGGCATTAGATAGGTCCATGATAAAATTGTATTTGTGCTGATACATTTGTATGTATTCATGTTCTATTTCCTTTGGAACCTTGTTTTTTGGAAAAATAATAAAAAAAACAGTGGTGGAAAGGAGGATAGGAAAGGGAAAATTAAAAATATCACTGGAAATTGCAATTCTGGGATATTCTATATCTACGGTATATCTATCGGCTTCTATCTATCTACCTACCTACCTATCAGTGGGAGGAACTATTTCATGCATTTGAATCTGGAAAAGTGGGGAATAGAATAGATTAGATGGTAGGCAACCCTAAGCTTTAGCACTAGTATTTTTAAAAGGAAATATGACCTGTTTTAGTTTATATGGTGCCTGCCTCTCTATTTCTTGTATTTATGTAACAAAGAGCATAGTTTTGGTTTCAAGCCTTTTCTTAGCATTTTTATCATGTGGTATTTGTAGCAGGAAATACGAATATTTCATAACTCTCCTATAGTCTCTCTTTTAGAAGTCATTACTTTAAAAAAATTGACATATATTATACAATTCACCCTGAATATCTTGAAACAAGGGCATCAGATGTTAAACGGCAGCAGAATTAAGTGTGTACATAGGCTTCTTCATAACTTAGTTACATAGGTGTAAAGCAGACATCCTGCACTTGTTATAACTACCAGACTTTCAAGATTTTTTTTGGAGGGGGTGGGCAGGAAGGGGTTGCATGCCTAATGGCTAATTTGAATTTGTCTCGCATAATATGTGAAATTAAACAGGTTCCTCTCAGAAATGGTGCTTGGATCTGTTGCATATACTGTAAGGTAATGAGCCTGATTCAGGAACTCTAGTTTGCTTTCATGGTGTTTCCATGGGTAAAAAATTCCCTATTAATGTCATTGTCAATTCCATTTATGAGGCAGATATTTTATTGAGATGAGTGCATTTTTGTTAAAGAGAAGGTGCAATTCGGTTTCTAAATTTTTAAGTTTTACCTTATTCTAAGTGATTCAAACAATGGTACTGTTGTCTTTAACATATGAATGCAATCTTTTCCACTTATAATTTTCATTTTTGCCAAGAAACCTAACAGGGTGTATATTTTGAAGTGTGGTAAAAACTTGCATCTGTCACTTTACTTAAATGAAGATCAATGGATTTAAAGAAAGGCTGACTATTGACTGAATTATTGTGTTCAGGATAAAAGATCCAAGTTACAAGAACAGCTGTGCAGTTCGGATCTCACTTGGAAGAAAATAGTAACATTTGTTGATGAAAACATTACTAAGGGAGAGCAGCAATCTGTACATGGCGATTTAAGGACACTTTTTCATGCTGCCAAACAAATAGGTAAGTAGGGTTTTGAAGTGGATACAATAGCAATAGGTAGTTGACCCTTGATTTAGGTAGGGATGGAAACTTTATTTATTTATTAAGAAAATGTAGATGCCCAACTCAATGACTCTGGCAGACTTAAAAAGATAAAACCCCAATACAAAAGTCAATAATTCCCCACCCTCCTGATGACAACAATTAGACTAACCATTTGATGGGCTCCATGTAATTCTGGCCCATTGTGAGAACCATGTCTTCAGGACCTTGTGAAAGAGTGTCAAACTGGGATTGGCGAGCACATTTGTCAAATTGGGATTGGAGAGCACATTTGATTTGGCCATTCTGGGCACAATCTAGAAATTCCCACCACATTTTGTCTCTAGAGGTAGACTATTTTGTAAGAAAATAAACTATTTTAATCTGATTCATTCCGTTTTCATGTTTTAAAATGTCCTTGTCTGGCACTGCTGTGAGATGTCCACTTGTCTGAAATGATATAGGGACTCCTGCTTGAGCAGGGGGCTAGACTAGAAGACCTCCAAGGTCCCTTCCAGCTCTATTCTGATTATTTATTATTATGTTTATACAGAAAAACATCACCTAAGTAAAATCCCATCAAATTTAATTGTCCTATGAATAGCTAATTCATCAACTTGTCATTTTTTTCTCCTGTCGTTTTGTTTCCCTGCGTCCAGTGGGATCTGAGAATGGAGAAGAAGCAATTGAAAGTGGTGCTAGCTTCCTTTTTAAAACGCTTTACACTAAAGACTGTATTGGTCGTGATGAAACTGAAGCCATTAAGCAGGTCTTTGGACCCTTTCCCTCTTCCTCTGCCACTGCGGCCTGTGATGCCACCTGTCGGATCGTTTCACATTTTACCGAAGAACAGCTTGCTGATCTCCTGCAGAGTTCTGAAGAGTTAAACAGTGACCCAAAGTTGTCCTTTGGCAGAAATATTGCATTTTCTTTTGACATGCACGATTTGGACGACTTTGAAGAATTGCTGCTAAACGGTGAAGTGGACGATCAGAAAGTCATTAGCTTGGATTATGAGAAAATTTTTAATAACCAGTTTGAACATTATCCAAATAGCTGTGGGGAAAATTCTGATGCAAAGTCTTCTGGGAGAGTAGATGACACTTTCCTGTGGTGTGAAGTTGGGAAGTATCTGAATGATTCCTTACAAGGAAATACCCAGGGCCCAACAATGGAACATCTTTGCTGTACTTTGTATGAGATGCTTGCCTCCCATAAAAGTGGTGATGAGCTTCAGAATGAGGTAGGGGTGCACTTAATGCTCTTCCGTGGTCAATATAACAAGCATAAGTGGTTCAAATCTAATGTTTGGATAATAGCTATTTGCACACTAGGGTTTCCTTCTCCCACAATTAGCCTCTGCAAAAGCTTTGTATGTTTTCGCTCAAAGTGAAAATAGCTTGAAGGTGATCTTGGCGGCTAGCATCAGGCAGCTTTGGAGGAATGCATGACATTTGTTCCTTTTTTGTTCCTTTGTTTTGAATGCAAATGAAGTGACATTTTGAACCAACGGAAGATGGTAATGTGATGCATTGATATGAGAAAAATAATTTCACACCAAACTTGATCTTGAGTTTGTTATTCCTGTCGTGTATGTCATTTAGCTGATTGCATAAGAAAAAGCGGTCTTGGATTTAATTATCACACAGTTGCTCTGCAGAAACTTTCTGTGCTGTAAATCGACTACCCATACTTGGAAGAACCTTAGAAGCTGGGTGGGTAAAGCAGTGACCTGAAAGGAAAAAATTGAGTAATCTTCATTGCACATGAAGCACTTGGTCCTTAGAACAGCAAGGATGCAATCCGTTCCAGATATAAACCTGGGGTTTAGAGTTAAGTGGACTCAATACAGGTTGGGTTGAGAGCATGTCAAGGTAAAATGAGGCTTACAGTAGAATGTAGATTGGACCAAATTATTAAGTTTATTATATTTGCTGATTATAAAACCCAAAACCAAATAGCTGAATAAGGGCAATCATCCATTTACAACCGTTCATTTAGTGATCGTTCAAAGTTAATATGGCCCTGAAAAAAGTGACATGAGCGTTTTTCACATCGCCGTTGCAGCATCCCCCGTGGTCATATGATCAAAATCCAGATGCTTGGCAAGTGGTTCATATTTACGACGGTTGCAGTATCCTGGTGTCATGTGATTAGCTTTTGCGACCTTTTGACAAGCCAAAGGTCAGTGGGCAAGCTAGGTTCACTTTATACAACCATGTTGCTAATTTAACAAATGCAATGATTCACATCAACTGTGGCAAGAAAAGTCATAAAAGCTCAATTAACACGTTTCACTTAGCGACCTAAATTTTGGGCTCAGCTGTGGTTGTAACCCGAGGACCACCTGTATAACATTCATTGCGAGTTAAATGGGGAATCTAAAGCAGAGTTGGTGAACTTGACAGACGTGGGATCGCTCTTGGCTTTTCAATGACAGGTCAACAGCCACTTTCAGACTAGGCCAGAACAAAGTCATTAGCAAGATCTCTCCATTTCTTCGACTTTCTCTTCACAAAGTGCAAGATTTATTGGAAGGAAGATTTGGTAGCCAGCACAGTTATTTATTTATATCTTGCCTTGCCTGCTAGATAGTAAATTTAAGGCCACTATCAACAGTAATAAAATACATTATTCTTTTAAGAAAATAATCAGTTAAAGCTAATTCTATTTACATATCAGTTTAAATGCCCAAAATCTGTCTGAAAATGATTATATTAGGTTGGCTACTTTGTGTTGTAAAAATGTTTTCCAGTGATAAATTGAGAATGAGAACATTCTCTTTAACTTTTATTTTATTTTTTTTGCTCAGTTCATACTATATGTAGAAGCTTGTATTTGTGTATTATTTCATTTCTTATTATGTAAAAGACTTGAATGTCCTATGAGGAATCACAGCACCCTGGCAGAAACGTATCTAAATTATATAGATGACTATTAGGCTGAATATCCTGCTTTTTTGTTGTTTTGGGGAGATTAATCCTTTTTTTCAACTTACAGATATGTTATTCTAGCACCCTCTGCTGGAGCTGTGTGATAAATCAATATTCTGTTAGCAAGAGAAGAGAAAAAAGTCTTTTCAAATATCTCTTAGTTTGAACTACCATGACATGCATAAAAGTTTTTACATGCAAGAGCTCAAAAGACCTTTTTACCACCTCCTCCCCACCTGGATGTTGAGGTTGAGGTTCCTGTTGAATTTCTTAAACAAACTATAATGTCTGAATTTGGATTTTGGTTTTGTTATAAAAATCCCCAGAGTAAAATTACACGTGCAACCGGGTTGGTTTGCATGCAGCTGTCACTGATTTGATGTTTTTGTGATAGGTATTTTATCTGTTGTACAGGTAATCCTTGACTTACGATCATTTGTTTAGTGACCATTTAAAGTTATAATGTCACTGAAAAAAGTGACTTATGACTGTTTTTCACACTTATGGCCACTGTGGCATCCCCATAATCATGTGATCAAAATTCAGGCACTTGGCAACTGGCATGTAATTATGACAGTTGTAGTGTCCCGGGCTCATGTCATTACTTTTTGTAACCTGAGAAAGTCAATGGGAAAAATCAAATTCACTTAACAACTGTGTTACCAACTTAACAATTGAAGTGGTTCACTTAATAACGGTAGCAAGAAAGGTCATAAAATAGGGTAAAACTCACTTAACAACTATCTTGCTTAGTAACGGAAATTTGTGGTTGTGGTTGTAAGTCGTTGACTACCTGTACAGTATTTAGTTTAAATGTATAGCTCTGGAAAACTTTTATTTTGAACAGTGATTTATAACGTCTTTAAAAATGATGTAGTAGTGGGCAAGTGCAAAACCTCCAGTGTGGGTACTCTTGCTCTCCCCACTTCTGCTTATCAACAGGAGAAGAAATGAACACATTTTGGTTATTCCACTTGTAATCTTGTTAACATGAACTAGGAACCCTGGGTAAAAATTCTTTAGGCAATTGCTAAAAGATGGTTACTTCAAGAAGCGGACTATAAATTATCTGGTTGTCTTTCATTCGGGATTCAGGCCTACGTAGGGGATGGAAGTGGTCATGCTTTTGGATAATCTCTGGCGAGGATTAGACGAGAGATGTGCATCCATCCTTGCCCTAATTGACTTCTACAGCTTTCAATACGATAAATCACGAAAGTCTCCTGAATAAGCTCAGAAGATTGGAGCTGGGTAGCATGTGCCATGCTGGTCCCCCTCCTTTCTCTGGGAACAATTCCAAGTGATTGGGGATGAGAGGTCTTGCTCTCACCACATGCTATGTGAGGTACCACAGATTTTGGTACTCTAACCCATCCTATTTATGTGCGACCGCTGGATAAACTCCTCCTTCACTATGGGATGAGGTATCATCAGTATGCTGATGATACTCAGTTATACATTTCTGCTCCAGACAAATTAAGTGATGCTGCAAATGTCTTATCCTGGTGCTGTGAATGTCTGGATGGGGTACAGCAGACTTCAATTGAACCCTGGAAAGACCCAGTAGCTTTGGATGTTAGTGCCTTCTGTTCTAGGACTCTGCCATCTTTTGTGCTGGAATGGGATTATATAGACCCAGGCAAACCTGGTACACAACCTTGGGATCCTCCTGCACTCATGACTCTTGCTCAAAGTCCAAGTGGTGCTCATGGCTTTGCACAGTTTCCTATTGTGTGCTAATTGCAGCTGTTCCTAGATCAAGGGACTTTACTCAATTTCGCTCATGCTCTAGTGATCTTTTCTTTGCATTTCTGTAATATGCTCTACATGGGGATACCTTGGAAGCTTCTGCAAAAATGCAGTGGCGCAGGCATTTATGTGTGCCCCTAGAACTGTACACATTATACCATTGCTCTTTCAGCTGCCTTGGTTTCTGGTTTGATTCCAGGTCCAATTCAAGTGCTGTTTTTAACCTTTAAAGCACTTCATAGCATTGGGCCAGGTTATCTGCTTCTTTCTCATCGCATTTTCTCACCCCAACAGATCTGGCAAAGAAGGCATGCTGTGAGTCCTGTCTGCCAGGAAATTATATTTTGCAGGTCCCAGGAGGTGGGCCTTCTGTGTTGTAGCACTCACTTTTCTCCCCCCACCCCCAAAGTGAGATTAGTCCCATCCCTCTCAATATCCCACACGTCCCTCAATCAGGTCAGGGGCACTGAGGAAATTTTGCAATGGCTCCCTTGCTGTGGTTAGTATCATCCTCTTCTGTTTTGTGTGCTTTTTTATAGTTATTTTTCAATTGTGACTTTTTATGTTTTTTTTAAATTAAGGGTGAGATGGGTAGCTACACAAATATGTAAAATAAATAAATACGATTTATTGGATACATCAGTGTATGATACAAGCCAAGAATTAAGAAAAAGGAAATGAATTATAATTTCTTCCTCCACTTAGTCATGAGGAAAGAATAAAAAGCTGGATTTTGAGTATTCCACGGAAGCTTAACCAAGTAACAGAATAACAGAGTTGGAGGTCTTCTAGTCCAGGGGTCCCCAACCCCCGGTCTGTGGACCAGTACTGCATCGCGGTATGTCAGCAACCGGTCCACACAAACAAGAAAAGCCCCATCCACAGGATGCAGGCAGCACACAAACCACGCCCCCTCCGGTCCGCGGAAAACTCTCCATGTAACCAGTCCCTGGTGCCCAAAAGGTTGTGGCCCTCTGTTCTAGTCAATCCCCTTGCTCAGGCAGGAAACCCTATACCATTTCAGATAGCTGGTTGTCCAATCTCTTCTTAAATGCTTCCAGTGTTGGAGCATTCAACATTATAGAAGCTCATTCCAATCCAGCATGGCTATAAATTGTAAGTTACTTTTAAATGTGAGCCAGACCACTGCAACATGTAATCTGACATATAATATGACAGTGCCTTGATTTGGAAAATTGAATTGCTACTCTGTGGTTGAACCAAGCTGATTTGATCCATTCATTCTGTTAGAAACAGAATGCCTTGTGCTTTTAAGCCACTTTTAGCATTCAGATCAAAGCAGCATAGCCCCATTTCAGTATTAACATGTTCTTTGAAGCTCCAAAGAGCTGTAGTTCAATGCTGGTTTTAAAAGTATTGATGTGCCTCATCGTACCTTTTCCATTTATATTCTTTAATTAACTTTTTCTGCAACACTACGCAGTCCAGGAACTCAAACTAATTGCCTTTGGCATTGGAGGGACCATCTTATTCAATATACCTTCAAAGTGTATTATTTTAAATAGAGTACGGTAACCCTTATAAAATCATCCCTGGAAGAAAAGGCAATCCAGTGCCCTCAAAGTATTTGGGGGACTTTTTAAATCTTTTGCTTCATCGACAGAAGCTGCTGCAGGTTGAAATTCAAATTATTTGAAAGGACCCAGTTTGTATAGTTGTACTTTTTTACAGCATTAACCACAGACTGTTTTTCCTTCTTGGCTTGGGTAGAATTCTCAAGTGGCATTATGCACATCCACTTTGGATGGCAGCTATTTCTTCATGTTTTCCAGTTATGCTGCTTGGTGACACATTCTAAAATCTCTTATTGTGATGACTTCCATTTAGTTTTCTCTTTGCTCGTTTGTTTCCATTAGCTTTTTCCCTGTCCTCTATGTGTGTTATACTCAGAGTCCATGTAGCAGGATCCACCTATCTTGGAACACTTACATTTGCCTTCATTCACGACTCCATATAGCAATTAAATTTTTGAATTTGGACCTTGATGGAGAGGTCCTAGGCTTCTGTTCATTTGACTACAGAGCTAAGCTGTATGCAGATTTTACTAATAGATGCCGAATTATCTTCTGGCCATCCCTGTACCAGGAGATGAATAACTGTTCTTTAGAAAGTAAGAATTTCAATAGTTTATGTAAGATGCTTTCCTTTCAACCTAACTTGTGACTTTTGAGTGTTTTAAATTTGGGATCCTAGACAGTAAGGACTAATACGCTTTTGAATACTTTCCTGGCTTACCAATTTATTCGTTATTAAAAAAACAAACCAGCGGAAGACATCAGCATCACGTATAATTCCAGAAAGTTTCAAGAACTAAATGAAGCTTGTTGTTAAAGGTCTCTTTCAAAAGGGAAATAAAAAGCACCTCTCTTCCCAACTTTTTCTGTACAGGGTTCTTTGTCAAGCACAAAAATCTAGCATGTGCTTTTGTTTACAGTAGCAGGAAAATGGAGTCTTAATTGTTGCAAACCAGATGCTTCCAAATCTTCCTTTCTAGTCCACCCATGTTCCCTGCTGGCACATTTGTCTCTAACGGCATCCCCGACTTGACTTTTTCATATATTAGCTGTTGCCCTTTCCCTCTCCCTTTAGATGAATCAACATCCAAATCTCCCAGATGCCTTCCAGCTGCTGCTTTTCTTCTTTGCTGAAATAGGACCAAAATTTGCTTTCAGAGCGCTTCTATTGCAGCTGCTTCTTTCCTAACTAACATAGGCAGTGCTTCTGAGCTGCTATGTAATCAATTGGTTTCTTTTGAAATGGGAAACGGCTCCAGCAAAACTTTGTCTGAAAGTCGATCTTGTAAAAGTAATGTAATAATAATAATAAAATAAACTAATTTGACTCGTGGTTTTTTTTT